GGTTTCGAAAGAGAGAGAGAGAATCAAGAAATTCTTGATGAGAGTTGGTGATTTAAAAAAGGGAGATATGACCTCTATCTATAGAGAAAAAAAAGGGTCGAAGAATAAGAAAAGAATCCGAATTCGAATTGAAATAAAAGTCGATGGACAGCAATTTTTGCGGATTTTGTTTTTATCATATTTTTTTATCTAGAAGTCCAAATAAGGCATATAATAAGTAGTTGGAAAAATCTTGAAGTCTACTTTCCAACCTAATTAGAATCAGATTAAAATCTTTTGTAGATAAAAAGATATGGCCGAAATAGTGGAAGAGCATCAGTTTTTGATAGAGTTTCATATTCCATTCATATATTTTTCGTTATAGCTTGGATTTAATATTATAATATATCATTAGAAATATAATTTCAAGATCTATCCAACCATATAAAATTTGGATAAAGATTATGAGGCACAAAAATAATATCTAAACATATTCCATTTTGTATAAAATAAGGATTCTCAAAAGGAGTAGTTTTATTCAATTTCAAACTCTTTCTTTGAAACATAATTATCAATTCTAACTCCATTAGGCTTTAAGAGAACCTTCTAGAGTATTATAGAAGACTATAATCAATCCTAATAGCTTTAGGAATAATAATTAATAATAAGCCCTCTTCTAGATCTTTGGGCCGCATATAAAAACCAAATCGGGCCCTGTTTAGTATTTTTGTCATAACTTCCTCATTATTCATCGGAATTGGGCTTATAATATATCGCTAGAAAGCTCTTTTCGATCCCTATCCAACGACACTATTATTAGACCCTTATCATGCACTAAAATAAAATGGATTGGACGTTTTTATAAAATAGAGTAAGTTTTCGAAAACAGAAAGAAAGAATTTTTATAAAAACTACCGCATCACTAGACTTTTCACACTTTCACTTCATTCGATTATGATCTGACGCGAAAGGTATTCATCAATGGGTTTGGTTTTGGGGAGACACATTTGGATGTCTACAGCGTTCGAGACCAAGATCGCAAAAATCCCTGGAGTGCCAAAACCCATGGAGGAAAAGGCTGCAGATGGCTACATAGAGTCGCCCTTCTCAGAATAGATCACCATGGTGGAAGTACCAAAGAGATTCAGAATGCCCAGTATGGCCATGTACGATGGAACAACAGATCTTGATGAGCACGTGTCCCTCTATAAGCAGAAATGATGACTAGCTCAATCCTTAGAGATATAAGAAAGGCAATTATGTGTAAAGGCTCCGGAGCCACACTAAAAGGTCCAGCTCTAACTTAGTTAATTAATTTAGATAATGGAACCTATTCGATCTTTTGTAGGGATGGTCAACCTATTCAAGATCCAATTCGATAGTAGTAGAAAGATCGAGAAGCAATCTTCAGATCTGTACAGAGTTGTGTAGAGACACGGAGAGTCCTTAAAGGATTATCTTAATAGGTTCAATAGGGAGAAGATTAGGGTATAGAAGTGTGAAGCTCCCACAACTATCGAGGCGATCAAAAGAGAGATGTTGGATCATAGCGAGCTCTATAAGGAGTTGACCAAGTATCCCAATACAACCTTTGAAGATGTCTAAGTCAAAGCAATGACCCAAGTCCGGTTTGAAGAAGACGTTTACGCAAGAAAGACTCCTGAACCAGATCGCTCGTCAAGAAGGAGCAATAACTTTTCCAGAAGGGATCACATATTCTAGCCTTACCAGTGATCCCGCTTTGAATAAGGAATAGTCAATGCTGCCAAACGAGAATTCATATATTGGAAGGAAGATCCCGAACTCCCTCCTAAATTGCATGAATATTATTTCAATGTAAACCATGTAGGTGTGATTAGGACCTTGAACAAAATGGGAGATACAGTACAGTGGCCTAGGAAGAATGATAGACTAGGAGAGAAGAAAGATTCGTCGATATCACCACTCTTATAAATTGATCGGGTGCGAATTAAATGTTGTATTGACTATGTCAACATATACCCATAACATCATAGATAACGGCTGGTCGCTGAGCAACACATGGCGTCAACCAGCCAACACTTGACACAAATGTAATTTTCATGGCATATAGCCACCTTGGCAGTTGAGATCACTATAAATAGTTAGGTTTATCCCACATTAAAGGGTAGCATTTATTACTCTCTCTCTCTTTCTCTCTCTTAATCTCTCTTAATATCATCTCTTCTTCTTCTTAAACACTTTTTGACTTTGTCATTGAAGTGGTTATCCCCGGACCCACCTCAAGGTTATCTAATCCTTATTTCCTATATAGGTGCTTAGCTAGACGATAAGGTCTTCACGGATTTCGGATATGGGTTGTCGGATCACATATGGAACAACTTCCATTCAAATATTGGTCACACAACAAATGAGTGTGTGGCACTTAGAAAGCAGCTTGCCTACGAAGCAGGGATATATTATAGAATTCGTGACAGACAGGTCCAAAGACCCAACTAGAGAAAGATAGTCCAATTAAGGTGGCCCCCCCACCTCCTCCTCCAATTGTCAAGACCGTCTGTTTCATCTCGAAGGATTAGAAGTGTGCGACCTAACTCAGCAGTGTAGCAACAAGCAAAATAAAAGAACTTCGCACAAACACAACAACAATACTACACAAAAAACACACATACCAAAACAAAGGACACGATAGAATGCGAAAGACAAAATAAACCTTGAGACATGGCAGGGATAGTTTCTATGTTAGACTCTGATTCGTCCAAATTCTCAATATGGACAACTACCTTAGGCTGTGTCAATTTGATGAAAGATCTCTTTGCAGCGCTCAACTCGTAAAAACGATCAATCAAAGATTGAGACTGAGCACGTTGTTTCAATTTATCACCGCAATTACAACACAAATAAGCCCAAATCAACAAAAAAGAAACCCACACAAAATCCAGAAAATAAAATACCTTCAGCCTCAACAGTATCAGTCAGAAAAGAAGTCTCCTCGCCTAAAGAATAAACCCTCAGCAAGAAAAACTTGTGATACCACTTCTTATTAAAAGCTTTTTCCAACTCCGTTACCCAAGGATCAACCCCATCCTTCAAACGAAGAGTTACCTGACCTTTACCACTTGTCCTAATAGTATAAGGATAGCAAAGATCCCTCACATATAACAAAATCCCCAACTTATCACTCTACAAATCGAGAATTCACAAGATTCTCCAAGTTTAGGGCAACAACTGGCAAGGCGAAACCCTAACCTTTGAGAGAAATTGACGAACAAGAGAAGAGAAGGGGAAAGTATGCCCAATCAAAAAGAGGTACTCGAAAAAGCACACTCAACCAGGGGTAGTCCGCTCTCTCTTAAAGGACGAAATCTTAATCACAACATCATCAGGAAAACTCGCAGCAGTGGGGATCTTCTTCATATCTTCCTTTGTCAAATTCAAAGGATAAACATCCTTAACAGGGAACACATTTTGCGCAGTGAAGATAGGCTTCTTCACACCTTCCTCAGCAACGGAAAACACACCACTCTCACCATATCCCCCCTTCACAGAACAAAGCAAGCAAGAAAATCGAAAGAAACAAAGAAAGCATAGGAAGAGAGAGAATTACTTGAAAGAAAAATTCAAACTGCAGACAAAGAGTGAAGTGATGTAATTGAAGCCTACACGATTAATAAATACCCAAGAAAGCATACTGTTAGTTGCGATTCTCAAAGCACTTATTTCGGCACCTTTTTGGTAATTTCTATCTTCAAGATGCTTAAACATATAAAAATTAGGGGCAATTGTTGGGCCCGTGCTCCTAATGAGCCCAAAAGTCGTAGGGCACGGTCAAGAAGATCAAAGAAGCAAGCCAAGTCAAACAAAATCAAGGCAAACAGATTGATTGGTACAAATAAGGCAACAAAATCAGTCAACAAACCAACAAGGAAAGCTCCAAAAATACGAAGTAGTAAGAAGGAAAGAAGAACAAAATTAAAAGATCTTGTCTTTCAAATATTATTCTGAAATATGTGTAAACCCTATCAATCCCTAAATATAAATAGCTAAGCAAAGCATTGTACAGCCATATACGCACATTCATAATAATCGATTATATTTGCAAGTTACTTATGAATTCTATGTCCATTCTAATCAAGGAGCTTATCCTTACTCAATATTGTCTTTCTAACTCTTTTTTCTTTAGTTGATTTGCTTGTTCTTTATTATATTATTGTTCTTGGTTATTCTGATTGATATTGTAGGATTAATTGTCATTACCCCCTCAAACCTTAAGCAAATTCCTAGACCTACCCTACTAAGATTTGCCTAAACAATGATGTCCTGTTTACCCATCCATTATTGAACCAAGCTCAACATAATAATGATCCATGTAGTATTATGTTGATCATATTTGTTTTACAAGATAGATTAAAGAAACCTATAGACAAATTATACTGAGCAAAAAAAAAATAGAATAACTGCTAACAAGTAACTAACTATTTAAATAATGGCTCTAGTTTGCGGTCATGATTGAATGATCTAATTTTCCTAAACTGTGTTCTGCGAGACTGATAGTGTGCTGGCCTGGTTATGTGCTGCACCTGTAAACTAGTTTTATAAAACCTAATAACTTTTGTTAATTGATAATTTCTATTATGCAAATTCCAGCTTCTTATTTCAAGAGACAAAGGTCAGGTGTGAAACTAACAAATTCATCAAATTGCATATACATCAACTAAGGAAAAATACACAATGCTTCAAGAAACACAACCAAATCAATTATAAGTGCTCGCTGCATTTCATATTTAACCAAATAATTCTTTGAATAATTGTCCACTTTCTCCTGGTACCATTACCAATCACACAAGATCAATGTGAACAACATAATTTATAGCTTATAAAATGGATTATCAAATATCTCAAAAGAAGATCTCAAGGCTAATAATGAAATTGTTGCATAAAGGACATTAAATTGAGATGAAATTCTGACTAATACTTGATTTTAAGCACGAATTTGCAGATTGAGAAGTTCTAATATTATTTAAATTCTAACTAAACAGGGATTTTAATATTAATTAAATTTAACACAATCAAAATTAAACTTAATTATTCCTCAAGGTTACATCAAAGATCACTAGTAGTAGTAGCTAATAACCCATTCATGAAGCACTATCCAGCATATGTTGTATTAATCATATGCTCATATAAATCATCGCTACAAGAAGAGAAGAACCTACACTAAACAGAAAGCTAAACAAAAGTATAAAGAACATAGCAAAAGGAACATACTGAATCATATCTGAGCAAAAGAACCCAGAATAGTAACCCCCGTAATCACAACGAACCCTCCAAACTCCGATACAAGCATTCAATCAATATTAATTGCAAAAGGACCATACTTGTCGTGTATTTCCTCAGAGACCTCGCCCCCAAGCGGGGCTTTTATGTAACCGTTTGACCCCCAAAGTGCAGTCCACGTTCTGGGCTCTGCGGAGTCAAATCCTATATTTTTGTAAGGCACAAAGTCACTTAAAGAAGGCCATTTAGTGGGAACAACTTCTTCAGGGCCGAAAATTATCTTACTGTCATCAGCATTGGCAGGGTTGTATTGAATGAGCACATAAGAATTGCCTTTGAAAAGGTAAACTTGGTTACGCTTATGCGAGGCAAAGGCAGCTTCAATGTCACTTGTGAAGAAGGTTTTGCACAGACACGGAAACAGTTCCGTTATGAGACCAGTGGCAGTGAGTTTCTTCTCGGAATAGTTGAATAGGACATACCTTGAGTTATATAATATGTAAGCTTCATTGGCGACAGTGGATTCAAAAGCAGCAGTGTAAAGAGGATCCCCAAAATTTATCTTTTTTAGACAAGGAAACATCTCTTTGTACCTTCTATTTTCTATAATCACTTCACCAGTAAAGGTAATTGGTGAATACTTTATCTTCGTGCACTCATAACATGAAAATAAAAATGCTTCATCAACATCATGACAACCAAAAGCAAAGTCTATACCTCTATCACTAAATTTAGTACTGTAAAGCTCCGGGAAACCGTCGCAAATCATGAGAGGACCACAGACAAGCTGATCCTTTGAAGGTGATTCAGAATCATAACTGATTACAACGTACTCATTTTGAATGAACACAATCAATATTGATTTCCGCATTGAACCGTTCCATAAACTTATTTGCTTCCATTTGTTCTGTTGGTGAATCTGGATTTTTCATAAATGGAATAACTTCCAACAGTTCATAATTATCAGCGTGTCTAATATGTTTATTAGAATCATCAACTGGTGCTTTCTTTTTTTCATCAACTACCTGACTCTTCCTCCGCTTAATCCTGTACTCCATCCTACAAGATTAGATAAATAAAATAAGAATATAGAGAAACATCAGATTACAAACACAAACAATGATGAGGTGATCCCTTCCTAGAAGCTGGCATCTTTCGCCTCGGAACTGTTTGGGGGTTTGGCCTTCGTTTAGGTCTTGTGTAGTTTGGTGGTTATATTTTACCTCTATGTAATTTGTGTTCTTGTTTCTCATTAATAATAATATGCCTTACTTACCCCAAAAAAAAAAAAAAAATGCTTTAACTTAGGAAATTAGGGAGAAAAGTCCCAATTTCAAAGTTCGATCCTAACTAACATTAAAGGTTCTTCAACATATTTGCAATCAAACTTGATAAGTATTATAGGCTCATAATTTTAAGGAGAAAAGTTACAATTACATAATTCCATCCAGAAAATTTGATTCAATTGACTATGCTGAGAATTGAAATAACAATAGCCGTAGACTGTGTAGATGATATCCGATAATTACAAAAAAGAAGGCAGCATCTTACCTAACAAGCTGCTTCAATGTAAGATAGAAATTTCAATGGCGATCGTGAAGTGCGCTTCTGTGGAAATTATGAGAGAGAAGACAATTTATGTTTTTGGGAGGCGTAGCTTTATTATTAAAACACACATTGAATCTGAGCGCATAGCACCTAGGGGCAAGTTATGTAAATAGAAGGATAAGGAAGTAATTTCCGCTAATTCAATTTTTGCTTTTAAAAAAAAACTGACTCTTTAGTGGTACATTATAATATACCATTATGTACCATTATGCATGTAATGTACCATTAAAGTATAATTTGTCTGAATAGCACATTTTGTGGACTATTACAGTATTACGAGTGTAGTGGTACTTTTTACCATCCTATAAGTTTCAACTTCTAGAAAAAGCTAACTCTCTAATGATACATTATAATGTACCATTATGTACAATTATGCATGTATAATGTACCACTATAGTATAAGTTATCTGAACAATACTTTTTAATTGCAAAATTGTCATCCTATATGCGCTGAAATCAATAAGTGCTATGTGATATGTACCATTACGTTGTGTGTACAAAGATGGAAAAATTATAGCTTACTATGTGATATGGGAGGCCCATGACGAATATCAGAATATATAAAAATATTTTCAAACATGTCGTGATTTTGTCATGCAGCCAATTATTGCCTACACCCCTAGTTCTTAAGCAAAAAAGGAAACTTTTTTTTAATTTTTTCATGTATATATATATATATACTAGTTTAAGTCCCGTGCAATGCACGGTTTTTACTTAGCATATTTATAAATTATAATTTTAATTTAACAATAATTAATTAAAATAAAAATCAATATTTTTAATTGAAACAAATACTTGATTTTCTTTTCTATAAAATACCTATTATAAAATATTATGTCAAAATATTTTCATTGAATGCATGTAGAATATACTTTATATATAGTTGTAAAACTGAAAGTTAAATATTATTGGATATTATAAAATAATGTTCATAAATATTTGTTAAAAAAATGAAAGTAAAAGTGGCGGGAATTTTTTTAATCAAAACCTGACAAGTGTCATACCAGATTTGCCTTTAGTATAATGTAATTGATGACTAGGTTAAGTCCCGTGCCATGCACGATTATAATTAACTTTACAACAAAAATTATAAAGAATGGTTTTTTTCTTTTTTTTTTAGGGGAAAAAAGAAAGGTTGTTAATTTAACAATAATTTATCCAAAAAAAAAATATTTGAGACAAAATAACTTGGATTTTAATTTATACCAAATGCGTAAAGGTTATTATTTTGAATTATTTTATAAAAAAAATTATTTAGTAATAGAAAATTAGAAGCTATTAGGTTTTATATAAGAAAATGAAATTATAAGCTTAGGTTAGTACCCGTATATGTCTTTAAAAAAAAAGGTTAGGGTTTGTTCTCATTGACTGAACTCAGCTGAACTGAACTGAACTGAAATGAATATTTTATAAGAGAAGGAAATTAGGAGCTGAACTGAACTTAACTGAATTGAATTGAATTTCAACGTATGAGAACATGCCCTTAGTACCCGTATACGAACTCATATACATTCGTCCTTATATTTTTTTTTGACACACTTTGACCGGCATTAAATAAAAATTTAGTTGATTTTATATTTTTTTAGAATAATTAGTATTCCATAATCAACTTTTTAAAAATATATTTATAGTGAGTAGTAGCAGTTTTTATTTTAATTTTAATAATCACATTGCATAAAATGTGTAGAGTAATTAGATTGAAGTTTTCAATATATGGTTAGTTAAAGTATTTTACACTATTCATGTGTCATCATTTACTTAATTTCTTTTACCTATATACAATATAAATATGATCATATAATATGTTGTTAGATTTGTCATATGTCTGCTTATATATATATATATATATATATATATATATATATATATATATATATATATATATATATATATATATATATACACATGTATATGTACATGTATATGTATATGTATATGTATATTATCATAATTTTTAATAATCTCTAATAAAATATGTTGATAATTAAAGTTGTGTCTCGGCAAATGTGCAAATCCAATTCTAGTCTATAAAAAACGGAGGGAGTATAATATAATAAAACAATTTTGTTCAGTTGTTTGTATAGACGTTGTGTATAATTTTAAGATTCATACAAATTACGCGACCAAAATGATTTTTCTATTTTTAATTAAAATAAATTTTATTGCCAAATGATTATTGTTGGAGCTTGGAGGAAAAAATTGATACTCCTTAATATTATAATAAGCTTGGACAATGATATATTTCAAAATGATTTTATTGCCAAATTTTATTCCCAAATGATTATAATTGATACTCCTTAATATAGTATATAGAATATATGTTTAAAAAAAATACTACGTGTATTAATTGAATATGATTGGATTAGATACGTTGTCAAAATAGAAATAAGTATTATTGTAGCTTATAAAATGGAAGTCATTAAAATTTGGCAAAAAAATAAAAATAAAAATAAATAAAATAAAATAAAGGAAAGTGCAAAAAGGAGGAAAAATTATTAATGCCATTGTGACAAATGTCATCTTAAATTCGCTTTTAGTATAGGTTAATTGATAATATATATATATACATATATATACACACATATATATATATATATATATATATATATATATATATATATATATATATATTGGTGCAGAATTTTTTCATGTATATTAGTATATATATATGCTTAATTTATACAGTATATTAAAATTATAATCTATAAAAAAAATCAAAAGTGAAGATCTTAAACTTCACAAATATACATATCATATACGTAGTATAAATGTGTTGTACAAATAAATTGAACATCGCCTATAATTTAATACATTTGGTATAAATTGTTGTAAAATATGTGTGTTCAAAGGCTACGAATAATAGAATGAATAATGCAATAGTTTGATCAAAAGGAAGATGGTGTGGCGTGACTTTGTCACTGCCTTTGAAAACGAATTTCGGCGCAACCGGGGTGCACATTGTATCGCCGGTACGTTCCCTAAGGTTACACACCACTCTCACTCAAAGGCACTTTTGGATGAGAGGTGGAGTCATATAAACTTATGCCCAAATAACAAATGTGTTTAGCTAGTTTTTGTGTATGATGTATCTCAACAATGAAGAATAACCAAGCTAATTTTATAGCCAAGGATGAAGTTTTAAGAGGACACATCAAAGGGGTGATTGAATCATATAGAAGTTGATTAAATCACCATAAACAACCACTTTAATAAGAGGTTACAAGAGTATCCAAGAGATGAAGGAGAATGTCAGAAGATGAATGAATGTAGACATCAAAAAGTCCACTCCACAGCCCACTTGTGGTTAATCGTTGTTGGCCACAACCTGCTTGTGGAGTAGGCTGATATTCTTATAAAGAAGACATAAAAAGCCTACTTCACAACCCACTTGTGGGCAAACGTTGTAAGCTACAACCTCCTTGTGGAGTGAACTGATCAACAATCAAAAAGCGTGGTTTTTCTCTCTTTAATCCAACATAAATAAAAAAGTATATAGAATTATCGCCCTTGTTATAGAACCCCTTTTACGTACTTTAATGATGTTTGTGTGTTTTTCTTTATACATATCTTTGTCTCAATACATATATTTTAGAATCGTCTTCAACTTTTTTTTTTTTTATTTTATTTCACTGCCCTGTGTAATAAGAGATCAAAATATTTTAAAGTAAAATGTTACTAATAATCAAAACACACGTACTATAAACAAAATAGAAACATTCAAATTTACAAATTTTAACATATTGCCACAAAATATAATATGAGAATGAACAAATACAAAAATCTAAATAAATATTTTTCAATATGAGAATGAACAAGTTTATATTTAATTGAACATTTTCCAATATGATAATTAACAAGTATTAAAATTAAACAAATGTCTTTAATGTGATAATGAATAAATAAGTATAAAACTAAATGAACATGTTTATATATGAGAATAACTATTGTATTAGATTGCAAATGAACATATTTTAATATGAGAATGAACATATAATGTTAAGAGAATGAACATGTATCAAATTTAATTGAATATAAATGAACATAAAATCCATATAAAATGACCACTGTTCCACCTAAAATGAAAATTTACGATAGATTGAATTTACTAGCCAAAATTCGTCAAATAAAAATATTTAGTAACAAAATAATTGATATTAAATTTATTGATAATTGATGCTTCAATTTCATAAATTAAATTGATAATTTATCTTTAATTTTATTTTTGTTATTATAATTTGAATATTAGTCCTTTTTACAAATGATTATAAAGTCAATCTGAAATGGACATTTACAATAGATTAGATGTACTAGCCAAAATTCACCGAATAACAATTTAATTAAATTATATTAATAATAATTCAATTATTATCATCAGAATCATTTTTATTAAAAACTAAATATTCCTTATTAGATCAGTAGAAAATGTAGGAAGAGAATGAAGATCATGACTTTTACCATAATTCTAATGGTCATAAATTAATATGTGAATGACCACATACGAGTATATAACTGAACATTTATTAAAATGAAATGAACAGTCATCTACGAGCTAAATTTATATTTCTATAATCCTATGAAATAGATCAAATCCAGAAAATTAGGACAATTAAGCTCTCTTCTATTTTTATTTTTTTGTCCAGTAAATTTATAAGCTAAAAATATAACACAAATTAATTAAATTTAAAATAGATTATTATACCAAAAATCATTCTACTATAATTATAAGAAATCATTGTTATGATAAAAATTACTACCTTCATTTCATATTAGTTGCAACTCTGGGGTATTATCTCTGAGATATAAAATATTCCAAAGTTGCAACGGATATCAAACGGAGGTAGTATAAGAAATCATGAACTAATGCTAGAATTTCATATATCTAGAGAAAGTAATTGAAGAATAGACCATTAAAAAGTTAGGGTTTGTACTTTTTTTTGAAAAAATAAACAATCTCAACTTATAATTTGATTGTTAGTCGTTCTTTGGTAGAAATTTTCTATGATTTCGCAATGTCATCTCTTACATCCATTATTTTGGTAAGATCTAAGTGTATCTTAACTTTTTCTAA